GTGTTCATCCAGCCCTGCGCCTTGTTGTCTCGGATTCTCCAGCATCTGCAGTTCCTACTATCTCTTTATTCCCAATCGTTGTCATTACTGCGTGACCCTTACTAAGATGGGCATGTGGGTGCCGAGCTAAAACAAGATCAGGCTTGGCTGTGTTGCTTCGCATAATCAAATAATCTGCTCACAGTCACTGTTAAGACTCATACCAAAGTTGGAATTATTTGAACAAAGTACTGAAAGGAACGTAAATGTTCTTTACACAACACTTCTGTTTGTATTAGTGCTTTCAACGGAGGAGGAGAAAAATTGGAAAGAGTGAAAAAGTAAAAAGTGAAACTTGGAAATGTCTACTGGACATAATAAGACATGATTCCACTAAATTGCATCAATATTAGTTATTTCTAATAATATGAGAAAATGTGTTCATAAAGTAATGATTTCCTCACTCCTCTGTTTTTGATAGCTGTCAAAAGTATACGCACAGAAACAGGCCATTCTGCTTATGTCCATACAAGCTCTCTACAACAGTACGCATCTCATGTCACTCATTCAATTTTTCCATGTAGCCCTGCAAACATTTCCTCATCAGATTATGATCCAACTTTCTTTTGAAAGCCATGACACAATCTGCCACCACACTCCCTGACAGTGCTTTCCAGATCCTAACCATTCACTGTGGGGGGTAAAAAAAGGCTTTTTTCCATGTTGCCATTGCTTCTTTTGATGATCATTTTGAATCTGCCTTGTCTAGTTCTCAGTTTTCCTACCAATGGGAACAGTCCCTTCCTATATCGTCTGTGCAGGTCCCTCATGAATTTTGAATAGGTCTATCAAATCTCTTTCCAACTTTCTCTAAGAAGAGCAGTTGCAGTTTCTTTGGGTCCAAAGATGAGAAACATTGTCCAGAATCTTTACAAGATCTCAAATGCATTTTTATCTCACTTCCTAAAGTCTTGGCCCACAGAAATGGAGGTAATACTCTAGTTAAGCGAAAATCTGTGTTTTCTACAAATTTGTCATAACTTCCACATTCATACACTATAACCCTCTTTAGAAAACCCAGGATCCCATTTGCTTTATTAACCACTTCTTTAGCTACACTGCAATCTACAATGATATATGCGCATATACCTGAAGGTCCCTCAATTCCCGCATCCCCTTTAGAATACTTGTCATTTACAGCAGTTGGGAACAGGAGTAGTTTTCAAGTTTGTAATACTTCAGGTCTGTGCCAACACACAGAAATTTATGAACTTGACAAAAATCACAGATATTAATATTGACTAAAATTTCACACAACATTGCCCATAGACTATAAGGAATTTGCAAACTCAATAATTCAAAGCGCCATTTCATACACTGGACAGTATAGATTTACATTTTGCTTCTCAATTTATTCAAGAAAAAAGTCTGAAAGCCAAGTCTAAATATTGTTAAAAATAAAATGTCAACAACAGCTGCAGACTTACCTGAACTTCTGGATTCTGAGAGAAACTCAGCAACAGCCTCTTTAGCAATGTATACACCAGACTGTAAAAGCAGAGCTGCCTCCTCAGATTTCAAACCAAGATATTTAACAAATCCTGCCAGAGTCGCCTGGTATGTGGCTGTGGTAATTACATCAGCACCACTAGAAAGATACCTAGAAGTGAAACAATAATTTTGAAAACTATTTTGAAATATAGAGGTACTATCTGAATCATCTGGGTGCAATGACACATCAATTTAACCACAAGATGACGGATTTTTCAATTAGAAATATCAGAGTTAAGAAGGTGATATTTGCTCGGAGGTGCAGAGCAAGATTAAAATAAGTTTGTTGTAATGGTATTTACTAAGAAAAGGTATGCATACAAAATATTAATAGAAATGATAAAGGGTAGGGTGAAAGTTGTTAGCCATCCTTTTAATTTCATGTTGCCTATGCTTCAAGTAGATAAGTGCCTGATCCACATTGTTTGCACTCCTGTTTACCAAAGGAAGGGGAGATAGATACAACAGAAAGGCTCCCCATAATTTTCTAATCACAGATTGCAGAATCACTGAATTGTTGCAGCACAGAGAGGCCATTCAGTCCATTGTGCCTGCACCAACTCTTCAAACGAGCATCATTACCTCATGCCAGTCTCCTGCTTTCCACCCAAACCCTTGCACACTACTTCTATCCAAATAATCATCCAACATCCTCTTAAATGCCTCAACTGAACCTGCCTACACCACATTCCCAAGTACTTCATTTCATACCGTAACTACTCGTCATGTGAAAAAGCATTTTCTCACATCACCTTTGCTTCGGTTCCACACCATTTTGAATCGATGTCCTCTCATTCTTGTTCCTTTTATGAGTGGGAACAGATTCTCCACATCTGCTCTGTCCAGTCTGTGCATGAATTTGAAAACCTCCATCAGATCTCCCTTCCAAGGAGAACAGTCCGAACTTTTTAGTACCATTCTTGTAAATTGCTTCTGCACTCTCTCCATTGCATCTTCCCTAGTTATTGGGGTGCTAGCAATATGCTTTCTGAAGTCAACCCTATCTAGGATCCCAGTCCATTTGTACATAGGTCAAATTAAAGATTAAAAACAAAAAGAACTGCAGCTGCTGTAAAAGCTCTGGCAACATCTGTGAAGGAAAAAACAGAGTTAATGTTTCAGGTCCAATGATCCTTCTTCAGAACTGATGGTGGCTGGGGAAACGTCAGTTTATATGCAGAAAACAAGGGAGGGGGATGGGGTAAGGAGTAAACGATAGGATAGAGCCTAAAGAGACAGGAGAGCAGTAGGACCAACAAAGAGTTGTTAACGATCAGGCTGGGAGGGTGAATAGTTGTTAATGGGGAATATTAGTGACTAACAACAGGTGGTGTGTAATGGCAGGCTATGTGATAACAAGGCCTGGTGTGTGGGGTAGGAGGCTGGAACATGGGAGAGTTTAGGCCCTAAAATTATTGAACTCAATATTGAGTCTAGAGGGCTGCAGGGTCCCCAAGCAGAAAATGAGGTGTTGTTCTTCCAGCTTGCATTGAGCTTCATGGAACACTGCAGCAAGCCAGAGACACAGATGTTGGTCAGGGAACAGGGTGGTGCATTAAAGTGGCAGGCAGCAGGTAGTTCAGGGTCTTTTTCTGTGAGCAGAACGTAGGTATTCTGCGAAGCAGTCACCCAGTCTACGCTTCATTTCCCCAATGTAGAGGAGACCACATTGTGTGCAGCAGATGCAGTAGACTAGATTCTGGGAAGTGCAAGTGAAGTGTTGCTTCACCTGGAAGCTATGTTTGGGCCCTTGGATACTGGGTGGGAGAAGGTAAATGGGCAGGTGTTGCACCTTCGCTGGTTACAGGGGAAGGTGTCGTAGGGCTGTGTGGGGGTGTTGGAGGTGAAGGAAGTGTGGACCAGGATGTCCCGGTGGGAACGGTCCCTGCGGAAGGTGGACAAGGGAGGGGAGGAGAATATGTGTCTGGTGGTGGCATCTTGCTGGAGGTGGCGGAAATGGCATCTGATGATCTTCTGGATGTGGATGCTGGTGAGATGGTAGGCAAGAACAAGGGGAACCCTATCACTGTGGTGGGACGGACCAGAAGGGGCGAGGGCGGAAGTGCGGGAGATGGGTCGGACCTGATTGAGGGCTCTGTCGACAACGGTGCTGGGGAATCCTCGGTTGAGGAAGAAGGTGGACATTTCGCAGGCTTCCTTTCGAAGTTGGCCTCATCTGAGTATTTACGATGGAGACGGAGGAACTGAGAAGATTGTTTTACATTTCAACCACAATTTATTTCTACTAGACCTAAATAGCACTTTATATACCAGACAGTAAAGTGAGCTTTACATTAGTTAAAAAGTCTCTGCACCTCTCTAAATTTATGACAACCCTAATTATGAGATATTATTCCACCTTGGCCATTATCTATGCTGTGGGTCTTTGGAGTTGAATTGCCAATTTTGTACCAAGCAATGTTGAACTTGGGACAATTTTGACAATCGTGGGGCCACTGGATTACAAAAGGTCTACAATCACTTCAGACAACAGAACTAGTCCTATTTGCCAGCATTTGGCCCATATCCCTCTAAATCCTTCCTATTCACATACCCATCCAGATGCCTTAAATGTTATAATTGTACCAGCCTCCACGACTTCTTCTGGTAGCTCATTCCATGCATGCACCACCATCTGTGTGAAAAAGTTACTCCTCAGGTTCTTTTTAAATCTTTCCCCTCTCACCTTAAACCTATACCCTCTAGTTTTGGCCTCCCCCCTCCACCCTTGGGGTAAGACCTTGGCTATTCACCCTATCCATGCCCCTCATGATTATGTAAACCTCTATATTCTATGGTTCTATATACATGCATGTACTTTCTCGCTGAGTTACACAAAATAAAGTGTCCCTCTGAGGGTGCTTAGTGATTTGGCTCCGATGTGATCTAAATGCAGCATGCCAACATTCACTGTCTGGGCAGAAATACCTAACAGCAACACACAAAGTATAGCACCTAGCTGGGGTTGTTGAATTCTATATTGCATCTACAGAATCAGAGCCCAGCACCAGTCAGCTCCTCCAGAAGAAGAAACAAAACCTTCATTGTGGATTTAAGGTCTTCTAAGACTGGCTGAATCAAAACAAGCAGAAATGGAGAGGAATAGGACATTTATCGTAGCAATTAAAATGTGGGAAAATGTGGGCTAAAAGAGATTGCAATGAAAACAGAACAACGGCTAGGCAGGAGGGTGTTATAGGATATCAATGGTAATACAATTAACAGCCATGATAGTTGGTACTGATGCACTATACAACCAGGCCAAAAGCAATTCAAAAGCCACCGAGATTGCAATATTACCCTTAATGGAAATACAGCATAACTGATGGATCAAATAAACTCTCTGCAGACTAGTTCTCAAGAAATGCTTTTTGGACACACGAGTGCTCACTGAGCTATAAACATGACCACAGCCAAATACATCCTGCCAATGCTGATTCAGGAACTGCCCTTGAAACTTACCTATCTCCACAGATTCTGACAGCTCTGCTAAGAGTTTCCAACATGCTCCATTTTTGTTTTATATTCCCAGAATCTGCTTTTTTGTGGATAATGGCACCTCACGTTTAACATTCTCCTACCCACTTGTGTAGAGTAGATTAAGCTAACCGATTCCACAATCAATATATTAAATCGAAGCTCCAAAGTCCTGCTACACCCAGTTGTGAAAACAACTAAATGGAAGAGGAGAAGCCACCATAAATATCCCCATCCTCAATGACAGAGGGGAGCAGCATGACAGCACAAATGACTTTCACAACATCTTCAGACTGAACATTCTGTTAAACTTCACACTATGCCGTAGAAACAGTTGAAGGCACTAGATACCACAAAGTCTATGGGCCTTGACGATGTCCTAACTGTAGTTCAGAGGACTTGCTGCATTCCTAACCAAGACGTTCCAATACAGATATAACACTGGCATCTCCACAATAACATGGGAAATCGCCCAGATATGTCCTCTTCATGAAAAGCAGGACAAATCCAATCCAACCAACTAGCACCCCATCAATCGATCTCTTTATAATTGATGCAAACTATTAAAGAACCCTTACAAGCATCATTAGAAACAAATGCAGATTCCTGAGGCATTTTAAAGAAATTACAAGTTTTCCTCACTGTACTGCTTCAAAGGTTGCCACAAAAAAGAAAAGGAAGTGAAAACAAGTGTGCTATTTTGCGAAAATAAAAGTTTGATAAAATAAGCACATTGAGGGTGACATAGCAGTTCAGCAAGCAAGCCTAATGCATGTGTATCAAATACATCATAAAATATGAAAGGTGTGCAGATGTCTGTTAATGTCAGGTCCTTTTCAAGTTCACAATCCCAACAATGGAAACCGATCTACTCAACAACTCAACTTAGCTCCATTTCTAACATTGAGCTATAGAACAAAGTATCCAAAAAAGCAAAACAAAAATTATCTCCAAACAAAAATAGCTACTTCTTATTACCTTGTGTGCACATCTTTGATTGCCTGTGGATTAGTTTGCAATATTCTGGCACTCCACAATGGATCATCCTATTACAGACAAAAACATTAATTACAAGAATGCAATTTAATCTACACTTCCTGTGCCATTAGTTCAAATCAGAACAATAAAATTCATCTCCAGTGAGCGTATCAATCTAAATGAGCCAGATAGCCATGGTTGGTGTGCTACATATGGTCATAGTTATACTCTTCTGATTACTGTTTCTATCTCTGAGCAAAGTTATTTTAGGGGTTATATTTCTTCTCTGAATATGACATCAATTGACCTTTGACTTGTTATTTCAAAACCATGCGCAATAAAACTATCTTGTTAATTTCTTTTATAGAATTATATTAATAGTTTTAATAGCTATTCAGCTTTTTTCTCAGCTAGCTTTGTGACAGCAGTGGTCTCCATGTACCAAATTAGCTGTGGTCAAGACTCAGACAATAATTGTTGTGGAACACTTTGTAAGATTGCATTTTAGGTCTTATCATTGCAATTTTTCCAGCCCAGCAGCAAAGAGAGCTGGAAGTGGGATCCTGGACTTTTGAGAGAATTTATTTTCCTGTTGGGGTCTGGTCTAGGGAGCGACTAAATTTTCGAGGATGCAGTGATATGAATTTTCCAGGCAGGTAGGGGCATTGTCAGATGGTTGTCCTTGGCTTAACCTTTCTCTCCTTTATTAACTTTACCTCATAGTTGGCTGGGTGTGGGGCTGGTTCACTGTCCTCTCTTTGAACTCAAGGTCTTGTCTACTCCACAACTACAGGCTCACACGATGTTCACTTAATGCTAGTGGGCTTAGTGCTAGGAAGAAAAACCAGGCAGGGCAGCAAACAACGAACATGGTGAGTGCTGACAGAGTGGTGCACATGGGTACTCTCAATCTAAACATTCCAGGCATGGAAACATGCTGAAAACGAAACATCATCCTGGTGAAGCTACAAAACAGAATTACATGTGAGCCAAAAAAATATAAGAAGCAAGTGAAAGAAAGAGTTAAGTAACACCACAACCAAAGGATCTGATCTAAGCTCTGCACAGCTGCCACATCCGGTCATGAATGGTGGTGAACAATTAAACAACTCACGTGAGGGATGTGCATCCACATATCCCCATTCTCAATAATGAGGCAACTCAGTGCATCAGAGCAAAAGATAAGGCTGAAGCATTTGCTACAACCTTCAGCCAGAAGTGCTGAGTGCACGATCCATCTCAAGCCTTCTCCATCGGTCCCCAGAATTACAGATTCGATTCACTCCGTGTCATACCAAGAAACAGTGGGAAGCATTGGATACTACAAAAGCAACGGGCCTTGACAACATTCCGGCATTAGTACTGAAGACTTGTGCTGCAGAACTTGCCCTTCCCTAGCTAAAGTGTTCCAGTACAGTTACAACACTGTCGTCATTTACTTGACAATATCCAGGTGTGTCCTGTACACAAAAAGCAGGATAAATCCTGCCCTATCAGTCTACTCTTGATCATCAGTAAAGTGATGGAAGGTATCATCAACAGTGCTATCAAGCAGCACCTGCTCACTGATGCCCAGTTTCTGTCCCGCCAGCATCACTTAGCTCCTGACCTCCTTGATTCAAACAGAATTGATCAAAAAGGATTCAATTCCAGAGGTTGAGGTGAAAGTGACTGCCCTTACCAATCAGGACAGCATTTAACTAAGTATGGTATCAAGACGCCCCAGCAAAACTAGAGTAAATGGAAATCAGGAGAAAACTCTCCACTGGTTAGAGTCATACAAAGCACAAAGGAGAAGATGGTTCTTGCTGGAGGTCCGTCATCTCAGCTCCAGGACATCACTGCAGGAGTACCTCAGGGTCATGTCCAGGGCCCAACCATCATCAGCTGCTTCATCAATGACCTTCCCGCCATCATAAGGTCAGAAATGGGATGCTCACCAATGATTGCACAATGTTCAGCATAATTTCCAACAAAAAAGATACTGAAGCATCCACATTCAAATGTAGAAATAACCAAGCTTGAGCTGACAAATAGCAAGTAATACTTATACCATACAAAGAACACATTCAACAAGGAGAAATCCAATCATCGCCCCTAGATATTCCATAGCATTACCATTGTTGAATCACCCACTATCAACATTCTGGGGGCTCCAATTGACCAGAAACTGAACTGGACTAAAATAAATATTGCAGCTACAAGAGAGGGTTGGGGTTTAGGAATCCTGCAGTGTATAACTCATCTCCCTACTCCCCAAAACGTGTCTCCCATTGAAAAGACACTAGTCGGGAGAATGATAGAATACTCCCCATTTTCCCAGATGGGGAAAGCAATTCCAACAACACTCAAGAAGCTTGACACAATCTAGAACAAAGTTGCCCTCTTGATTGGCACATGCACAAAAATTCAACCTCTTCACTTTACAGTAGTAGCAGTGTGTAGAACCTATAAAATGTGTTGCAGAAATTCAACAAGGATCCTCTGACAGCGCCTTCCAAACCCATGACCACTACAGTCTAGAAGGACAAAGGCAAAAGATACATAGGACTATCCCCTGCAAGTTCGTCTACATACCACTCGGCATTCTCCTTGGCAAGGTGTACCAAAGACTCTCATCACTCAGTCTTAAATTGATTAATTTAGTAATTCTGAGAATATTGGCTCACCAAACAGGCTTTTTGTTCCACAGATGTTTCATTACCCTACTGGGTAACATCATCAGTGTAGCCTCCGATGAAGCACTGTTGTGTTTTCCCGTCTGTTATTTAAACTCTGGTGTCCATTGAGCTGGGTTACCTTACTTCTGATTTTCCTTTGCACTGGAATATATATAGGGTCTACCTCTACTTGTTTGTTGATGGCCTTCTTAGTGGACAGCCAGGCCTCTAGGAATTCCCGTGCTTATCTCTGCTTGGCCAATCCCAGGATCCTGGTGTTGTCCCAATCAAACTGGTGGTTTTCCTTATCCATGTGGATGGAGATGAGCAAGTATTGGGTGTTTAGACACACCCAATGTATCAACTGTTGCTAGTTGATGTTCATGTATTCTTGTGGATAATTTTCTTCCTGTCTGTCCAATGTAATTTTTGTCACAGTCATTGCAGGGGATCTTGTATATTATGTTGGTCCTGTCCATAGTGGGTAACGGGTCTTTGGTTCGGGTTAGCTGTTGGCATAGGGTTGATGTAGATTTTTGTGCTATTCTCATGCCCAGTGGTCGTAGGAGTCTAGTGGTCAGTTCAGATGTGTTCTTGATGTAAGGTAGCATGATGAGTGTGTCAGGGCGTGCAGTATCTTCCTAGTGCAAAGACTGCAACAAAAATTACATTGGACAGACAGGAAGAAAATTAGTCACAAGAGTACACGAACATCAACTGGCAAAAACACACGACCAATACTCACTCATCTCCATCCACATGGATAAGGAAAACCACCAGTTCGATTGGGACAACACCAGGATCCTGGAACAGACCAAACAGAGACAAGCATGGGAATTCCTAGAGGCCTGGTTCTCCACTAAGAAGACCATCAACAAAACACAGAGCTAGACCCTATGTATACTCCATTGCGAAGGAAAACCGGAAGTGAAGTAACCCAGCTCAGCGGACACCAGATTTTAAATAACAGGCAGGAAAACACAACAGTGCTTCATCAAAGGCTGCACTGTTGATGTTACCCAGCAGGGTAATGAAACGTCTGCAGAACAACGAACCAGTTCAGCAACCCAACCAGCCCTAATATCCACAACCCAAGCTATAAATCTACTCAAAAACCTTAATTCTGAGAATTCTGGTTCTAGATTCACCCATAAGAGGAAAATCCTCTCAGCACTTATTCTGTGAAGCCCCTTAAGAATCTTGTATGTTTTGATGAGATCACCTCTCATTCATCGAAATTCTGATGAGTAAAATCCCAATCTGTTTAACTTTTGCTCATAAGACAATCGTCCATACCTTGAATCATCCTAGTGAGTCGTCTCTGAACTCCCTCCAATGAAATAATATCTTTCCTTGAATTTCATTAAATCCAAACGGAATTGTGGGCTTCTACCTACACCAAATGGAAGGCAGCCCATCTTCTCAAGGGCAATTAGGGATCAGCAATAAAAGTTGACCCAGTCAATGATACCCAAATCCTATGAATGAATTAAAAAACATCATCATACTGCACAGGTGCAGGAATGCTGCTTGTGATCATCTTTCCTAGACAGCTCAAGGGATCCTGGGAGTCAATCAATGGAATCCAGTAACGTTAAAATCTCAACCTACTTCTAACATCTGCAGGAAATTAAGGGTAAATCCAGCAGCCCAAGTCACTGCAGGAGGATCGGCTATTCAACTTGTACCACACAAATACTCAGATTAATGCCTTAGAGACAGACTGCATTGATTGTGCTGCTATTGAGGAAGCTAGAAGATATAATACATATAGACCCAGGGTAGTCTTTGTCTGGGACACAGCCAGAGGCCGGAAGATGCTTTCATGAAACATTTTCAGTTGAAGTAATCAAAGGCAAGTTTGTTTTAACGCAGAGCCACTGCAAATTACTGTTTCTTCATTCTCTGGTAATCCAGTTTGCCATAGATGCTCATAGGCAAGGGTTTATAAAAACTTCAAACATAACCATGGACAGAGATCAAGTTCCAGGGAGGAAAGGGGGTGGAGTCCAGTTTTTTTATTCATTGTGGGATGTGGGCATCACTAGCTGGCCTGCATTTATTACCCATCCATAGTTGCCCTTGAAGAGACTTTGTAGTAACTCGTACAACTGAATGGCTAGGCAGGCCATTTCAGAGGGCAATTGTGAGTAAACCACATTGTGTGGGTCTGGAGTCACATGTAGGCAAAACCAGATGAGGATGGCAGATTTCCTTCCCTGAAGGATTTTAGTGAACCTGATGGGTTTTATTTGACAATTGACAATGGCTTCATGGTCATCAATGGATTCTTAATTTCAGATATTTTTTATTGAATTCAAATTCCACCATCTGCCATGGTGGGATTCACATCCGGGTCTCCAGACATCCGCTGAGTTTTTGGATTAATAGTCCAGCGATAATACCACTAGGCCATCTCCCACTATTCACATAATTGGGTGGGGATGGGTCATATTTACATAACGCAGAAGGAGAGGAGCCAGATTTACACAAGAGGACAGGGGTGTGGCCTGTATTTCTAGTGAGCTATGAGCAGAGCTCTGTTTTCTGCTGGGCCAATTCAAAGCCTGGGCTGCCGTTACCATTTCCAAATAAAAACAAACTCTGGACGCTAGAAATCAGAAACAGAGCAGAAATTGCTGGAACAACTCATCAAGTCTGGCAGCATCTGTGGAGAGAAAGCAAAGTTAGCATTTTGCGTCTAGTGACCCGTCTTCAAAACCGATTCTAACTGGGAAAAGGTTGGTAGATGTGCAAAAGAAGGGGTGTGTGGAAGGAGTAAACAATTGATGGAGATAGAGCCCAGACGGGGGGGGGGGGGGGGGGGGGGAAACTGAGCTGGGCAGCCAAAGTTGTGGGTAAAGGTCAGCCTGGGGGAAATGGAAAGTTAGTGGCTGACAATGGGTTGTGTATGGTAGCAGTCCATGTGATGCCAAGGCCTGGTGTGTGGAGGTTAGGGACAGGGACATGGGAGAAGGAGTTTAGGCCCTAAAATTATTGAACTTGATATGGAGTCTGGAGGGCTACAGGGTCCCCAAGCGGAAAGTGAAGTGCTGTTCTTCCAGCTTGTGTTGAGCTTCACCAGAACACTGCAGCAAGCCTGAGACAAGAGATATTGGTCAGGGAACAGGGTGGTGTGTTAAAGTGGCAGGCAGCTGGAAGCTCAGGGTGAACAGATGCTGACGGGCCTGCTGAGTTTTTCCAGCACTTTCTATCCCCGTTACCATCACCTGCAGGTTCAAACCGCCCGCCTCCAGCTCGGTCGCCAAACCTCCATCAATAATGGTCACCTCGGGCCTGTCCTCCATCCCCGGCCCCGGCCACTCACAGACAGACAAGAGGGACCACGCTGCACCCAGCCTCTTTAAAAACAGCCGGGTCACCCCCACCAATGGCCGCCCCGGTTTAAACCGGTGCACCGGTGAATGTGTTCCGCCGGCTCCTTCCGCAGATATTGGTTCCGGCTGGGGGTGTGAGTGAGAATGCAGCCTCCTGATTGTGGTCGGGCCCCGCTCCCGGTAAAGTGCACTTCCAGCGGTGAGCTGTGCTGATGTGAACCTCATTCCCCAGGAAATTCACTGCGGGGAGGTAATTTTAATTTGGCTGGAGGGGTTCGGGACCGGGCTCTAACTGGACAGACGCACAGAGGCAGGCGATCAGAAACAGCGCGGGTTAACCGGTAAAACCTTGTTGCATAATGTTGTATTCTGTTTATTTCTACCATTTCAGTCAGTGACCCCAAAAGGAGACCGCCTGATTAACTTTTCTCAACATTATTACCTCGTCTTCAAAGAGTCCTGCTCTTGCTGGGGTGCACTTGTCCTGCCAATTGATTGCCCAGAAGCCGAAATCCTGTGGAATTAAAGCCCTTGGACACCCAAAGCCCTTCCGTGTATCTCACTGCCACTGGAACAAATAGAGACAAGGACAAAAACAAAGTTGCTGGAAAAGCTCAGCAGGTCTGGCAGCATCTGTGGAGGAGAAAACAGGGGTCTGGTGACCCTTCCTCAGAACTTCCTCAGAGACAAGGACATATCAAAACTGTGGCATCCCTGTGTCACTATTGGCAGGAACAGGTTTAACCTCACTCTGCAACCTGGTAAGCCAATTTATCCTTTACTGTATTGTTACCAGCAAGCCAGACATTTAAGTCGGGCTCAGTGAGGAGCATAGACGCATACGCCAGGAATAGCACCAATGATGCCTAAGAATGAAGCACCAACATTTCCCGAAAGGCGTACTTGATTTCATTTATTATTGTCACGTACTGAGATTCAGTGAAAAGTGTTGTTTTGCATGCTAACCAGACAAATCCTACTTTACATAAGTATGTTGGGGTAATTGAACAGAATGCAGAATGCAACTACAAAGAAGGTGCAGAGAAAAGTCAGCTCAGAATATGAGAGGTCCATTCATAAATCTGCTAACAACGGGGAAGAAGGTGTTCTTAAATCTGTTGGTATGTGTTTTCAAACTTTTGTATTTTCTACCCAATGGAAGAGAGTGGAAGAGTGTATAACCGGGGTGGAAAGGGTCTTTGATTATGTTAGCTGCTTTCCTGAGGCAACAGGAAGTTTAGACAGAGTCAATGGAAGGAAGGCTGGTTTGCGTGATGGACTGGGCTGCATTCACAGCTCTGTGATTTCTTGCAGCCTTGGGCAGACCAGTTGCCATACAAGCTGTGATGCATCCAGATAGGTTGCATTCTATGGTGCATCTATAAAAATTGGTAAAAGTCATTGTGGATATGCTGAATTTCCTTAGCCTTCTGAGAAAGTAGAGGTGTTGGTATACTTTCATGATTGTAGCATTGATGTGGATGGACAAGGATAGATTCTTGGTGATTTTTACTCTTAGGAACTTAAAGGTTCATCTCAGCACTATTGATACAGATAGGGGCCTGCCCTCCTTTCCGCTTCCTGAAGTCAATGACCAGCTCCTTCATTTTTTCTGACATTGAGGGAAAGATTGTTGTCTTTACACCATGCCATTGAGCTCTGTATCTCTTTCCTGTACTCTGTCTTGTCATTGTTTAAGATCTGGCCCACTATTATGTCATCAGCTAATTTGTAAATGGTGTTAGAGCTGAATTCAGCCACAAGTTCATGAGTATATAAGGAGTGTAATAAGGGGCTGAGTGCGCAGCCTTGCGGGATACCGGTGTTGAGGATTATCATGGTGGAAGTGTTGTCGCCTGTCATTGCTGATTGCAGTCTGTGGGTCAGGAAATCCAGACCAGTCATCGAAGGGGGAGCAGAGTCGAAGGTCTTGGAATTTGGAGATGAGGTTGTTTGGAATTATGGTGTTGAAGATGGAGTTAAAGTCAATAAATAGGAGTCTGGCATAGGTGTCCTTGTTATTCGGATGTTCCAGGGATGAGTTTAGGGCCAGCGAGATGGCGTCTGCTGTGGATCTATTGTGATGACTGGTGAATTGTAGCAGATCTAGGCAATCTGGGAGGCTGCAGCTCATGTGTGCCAGTACTAACCTCTCGAAGCACTTCATACCTCTGAGCCAAGACACTTGGCTTCATGTTCCACCTGCTCTAGACATGTATATGTAGTAACATCTCCAAGCAGGTTGATTAGAAAATATCTAGAAACTTGATTTGACCAGCCACATAAATACCCTGCTTATACCCTGGAGGCTAGAGTGAAAGACTTGCCTGCAGACTCCCCAGTGCCTTTCCTCCAATTGTAAGCCATAAATTAGGAGAGTGTGATGGAATCCTCCCCAGTTGTCTAGATGACTACTACTTCAACAGTATTGAAGACACTGTACATCATCCAGGACAAAGAAATCTGCTTGACCCATTCACTGCCTTAAATATTCACTCCCTCCAACAGTGGCATACGGTGGTGGCAGTGACTGTTGTGTACAAGAGCACTCAGCACCTTACAAAGACATCTTCCACAGATTATTCCAGGATGTAATTTGGGAATTAATAACAGATTAACAAAGGAAAATTTAAAGCAACATTTTAAATCATAGAATCCCTGCAGTACTGGTAGAGGCCATTTGGTCCATCGAGACTGCACCAGTCCTCTAAAGAGCATCCAACTGAGACCCAAGGACTCAAAGGGCCGTGAATCTATGGTGTTCAGTACGCCAAAGTGTCGTGAACATCAAGATGTTGAATAAATTTGAGATGATAGATTTTAATCAGTCATGGATTAGAGAGCCATTGGGATGAGGAGCAGGCAGGGAAGCAATTGAAGTCAAGATGAGATCAGCCATGACTGTATTAAGTGGCAGAGCAGGTTTAAAGGGCTGAATTGCCCACTCCTGCTTCAAGGTTTACATTCTTACAATTCCTGGGCTGAAATGGATGACTTTAAACATACACAGCTAAACAGACAAATATTTGAAATATCAGGAAGTTGATGGCTATGCAGAGTTGACACGAAGGGGAGTTGAGGTTTGGGGCAGATTAGTCGTGATTTTGTTAAACAGCAGGACAGGCTTCACAGGCCAAACAGCCTATTCCTGTTCCTATTTGTTATGTACCCTCTCTCCTACCTCCTCATTCTATTCAATCCATAATTCCATACATTCTTCTGCCGATCTTCAGAGTGGAACATAATCTGATACCTTTTGGAAATCCAGAAATCTATTGCACTTGTGACTGCCTCAAAAAATATAACTACATGAATCAGACATTAACTACTCTTTTCAACTCTATACTTTTTGAACAATTATATCAACCAGTCTGTCTCTGATAAATTCCAATAATTTCCCCAGAATTGATATTAAACTGACAATTGAGGAAGGACTGCAGTTGGTGAAGGTGCCATTTTTGATTGACATGTTAAACTGAGGCTCCATCTGCCTCCGTGGGTGGACTTCAAAGATCCCAATGATACTATTTTGAAAAACAAGCAGGGAGTTATCCTGACCAACCTTTATCAATTGGTTAATGTCACAAAACAGCTCATTTTGTCGCTATATTGATATTGTTGGGAATTTGATATGAATTAGCTAGCACATTGGTGGCTTCACTTCAAACTATATACTGGTTGGGTAGCAACTGGAGTACTAGGTGCAGTTCTGGTCGTCACATTTATAGAAAGGATGTGGTTGCACTAGAAATGGTACAGAGGATGCTGCCTGATGCTGGAGGATCAGAGTTATGAGAAAAGATTGGATAGGTTGGGGTTGTTTTCCTTGGAGCAGTGAAGGTTAAGAGAGGACCTAATGGAGGGATATAAGATTAAAAGGGCCATAGATATAGTTGATAAGAAGGCACATTAATGAGCAGTCAATAACCAGGAGCATGGCATTAAGGTAAAAGGTAAAAGGTTCAGAGGAGAATTGAGGAGAAGATTTTTCACCCAGAAGTTGTTGGGAGTCTGGAACTTGCTGTCAGGAAGATTGGTGGAATCAGAAAATCCCGTAACATTGAAGTAGTATTAAGATATTCATTTGCATCAGTGTGGTCTCGAGCTATAGTGTCCTAGATGATGTACAGTTGGAAAATGGAGTTACTATCATCAAGAGTTTTGTGATGTCCGTATATGTGATGTACTGACGGGCCACCTTCTGTGTTATAATTGGTTGTCAATGCTTTAAAATATTCCGTGCTTACTAAAAGTGCTATGTAAATATATTTTTATTTCTTTCCTTACAGATTTTGAGTGAATTTAAGCAGAATTATGGGGGTTAAGGGACTATGGAAACTGCTGGAGTGTACAGGGCAACCTATCAATCCAGAAACGCTTGAAGGAAAAATACTCGCTGTTGGTATCCTTTATATAACCACTGCTGACCATTAGAATGACTTGTATTCACAGCTTTGGTAGAAGCTGACAAAGCAAATGATATCAATATGGTGTTTGCCATTACAACTACACTGTTGATGTAAAAATAATTTTTCCCTTCACTTTGTGATGTAAATCCCAGTGGTAATGAAAGGCTGATATCAGCAATAAGGAGAGCAGCCACGGGACAAATAGATTGACATGAATTTTTATATAACATTTTATATGTTCTGCCTAATATTTAGCTCCTCAATTGTGCATAAATCAAAAAGGCAGGGGGCAAAGAAAGTGAAAATTCTTGCACTGCTTTGTTTTTGTGTCGAGTCAGTGTTTGACTTCAGATTCAGGTTGTATTGGCACTACATTAAGTTAAAGTGCTTCACGCTGATATCAATTAAAAATAAGTCACATTAGTACAAATCTCCAATGTTAATTTTAAAAACCATTAATTTGAAAGTTCTTGCAATTTAGAAATAAAACAGGGAGTTTAACTATGTAGAAAACATATAGATTTTAAATTTCTTTAGGTTTATAACCCAGAGCAGGAGGTAGCCTCTTAACTGAGGATTCTACAGTGACTTGTGCACTTTTATCTCGTTGCGTCCCTCAGGCCGAAACTCCCTCTAAACTCAGAAAAGCCCAAGCTGCACTCTTAAACTGCACACTCAACATGTGTGTGATTTTACAACCTCCTTATCATTGATTTTGAGAAGAAAATGTATTCTGCCTTGTAATACTTGTAATCTGACTCGTGTCAACCAAACCAGCAAACCCAGAACGAATGGACAGTATGCTTTAACAACTGCTTGGATCTGCCATTCATTCTCAGTTGAATGAGACATCTACGGTGCTGAAATCCATCAGCACTTGAAAACTCAGCCCAGGGTTGGTATTGGCCATAGTCATCCAAACAACAGTCTGGTTAGGAACTTACGGAATCTGCTCATTTCAGTTTCAAAGCAGAGTCACTGTTAACCAGTGTACTGGAGCAGTTAATTGGATTTGTTGTATGTATCAAAATTGTTCTATAAAGCAATTAGAACCATTTAAATCACAGAAGGTATGACTGCACGCGCTGTCAGGACCTTTTGTAGCAGTTTTTATTGCATTGTTATAGCACTGTACTGCATGTGAACAAATGCACAAGAGAATGGTTACTGTAAGGGCCATCATTTTAAAACACAAGTCCTTATGATGAATCATTGCATTAAAAATACATCTACGTCACAAATAGCATCCAATAGTGACATTTGAAGGTGTGAAAATACCTTACACTTTTCAGAACATTCCAGACTCTTCAGCAGGCTTTCTATTTTCTTCACAAACTCACTTAAATCTGGTGTGCTTCTAAAATCCTGAACTCCCAGAGAAAATAGTGTGCTGTAAGAATTACAATTTTCATCCTCCATTTAAAATGGCAAAGCAACCCCAGCAGGGCCGTGTGTTTTCTCTGCTTGGCAAATCCCACTTGTAAAATACCTGGAGGAAAATTGGATTTCTCCCAAAAAAAGTTAAACGTGGTCTCAGTGAAATTAAATAAAAACTTTATTAAACAATATGTAAACATAAAGTTTTTTTTAACCGCTGTTCAAAGATATCAGCATTTGGTTAAATCAAGCAGTGAAGGGAGCAAGAGATCGCCATGGTAATTCTGTACCAAATGCTCACCTTCTGATTTTGCTCCATCGACTATGTAAACTTTTGTTTTATCGAATACGACCAGTAATTGTTTTTGATGGAAAGACGCCTCTACTCAAGAAACAAACTTTGGTAAGTACTATCGCGTAATACGATTTAATTTCCATGATTGACAAAAGCTTCGTCAAAAATCTATTTATCTAAAATCTAATCTATAAAATGTTTGTTGTTCATGTTGTCTGTTGTCTGTATTAACTTCTTTCAAGTTCAAAAAATTAGAAGAACATTGTACAACAACATAAAACATTTATGCGAGTTTATAAAAGTTCCTCAGCAAGAGTTGAACTAGTTAATTTTTTAAATGAATTTATGTGTGGCATGATGTATTCAAATCTATGTTCTTTCTAAGCTGCACATTGTAACAAATAATGAAGAGGCAAGCACTTAATTATTACAGCACACATTCTCTGATGTTCCAGCTAATGTACTTACACTCACCTTCCCACTGCTTGCTCCCTCTCAGTCACAAGCTACTTCTCTCCCATGTTCACCTCTAAAGACTCACAAGTAAAATACAGTTATGCCTGTTAGTAGCAAACATGGGTGAGAACTACTCTACGATTGGAGGAGCAGCTGCATGTTAAGAGATGGTGCATTAGCCTGAGCAGCAGAGCAGCAGTGGGGAGAGAGATTGCAGGACTTGGTAGGGAAAAGACGCAGCAGCTATTTCCCATTGATGCACCCCCTAAAGGAGAGGAAGAGCTCCCAGAACCAATTGCAGAATTAATGAGCCTGTTCCCTTTGAAGTAGCACTGAGTCTTTTGATATCACTAGCCCGAAGATGAAGTCCATGTCACCCACTGTTGGCCAGCTCAGTGCTGTCTTTGAAAACACTGAGCAGAAGAACCCAACAGTTGACAAAACAGGCACTTTATATGTGGACACAGCTCCTCAGCTTGCTTCTTGGCTGGAATATTGAAATTCAACATAGCTCCTATAAAAATAAGTGAAGCATTACTGTATCAAAGTGGCTGAGCATGTTTTGTTACCTGAACTGATTAACTTCTGAGGACAAAGGATGTAAGTTTGCAAATTTAGTCGACATAACTTACAGAACAACTAATTTCATTGATATTGACCCAACCAGATGTCTAACGTAATACTTTTGTTATTAAATGCCAAGAATAAAATTTAGTTTTGTTTACAAATGCAGTCAGAACTGATATTAAGACACCATCAAATTATTTTCAATGCAGCTGTTGAGTATTGAAACAAACTCTTGCTTTCAATTAATATGTCTATTTTAACTGTGATACAAGTGAAAGTCAGTAGATCTGGATAAAATCAAGTTGCATTTACATGATGGAATGTTTTAAATGGCAAGGCATTGCATCATAATATGAATGTGATACATGAGTCCTGACTTGCTGTGTTACAGGAATATTAAGCCCTCTTCTCCTGTGTATTGATTCACTTGTTCTAGGTATAAACAGCTGTAAGCTTTTAAATCAATAGTAAGTAATTCCTTGTGCTGCAGGTTCAGGATCTTCGTAACAGTTACCCAACGGGTATAATCTTTAATTTTAAGCACTAATAGATGATACATGTAAGATTATGAAAGGTTGCTAAAAGCTTTGAGCATTAATTCTCTTTTCATTTGATTTTAATTTAAACAAACTGTGTTCTAAACCTATTGTACTTCTGACAACAGTTTAAATATGTTTAAAAGATATGGTATGGCTAGGTGATGTCCACATTTCACATTAGTTTGTATTGGTGCACATTACAACAAAATTCATTCTGTGGTTAGTGGAAAACATTGTCAGAAACATTGGATAAAACATTGTCATTTCATCTCAATTTGAATCCACTTTAGGTTGATTGAACAGAAATCTTTTTCTGTAGCACCTCAAGCAAAATGACTACTAAGTTAACATATTCTCAACTCAATTTCTACTGGCACAAGTTATTTTTGTTCAGGAGAAAAAGAGAGTCAGGTCAACATTTCAGTTTGCACTTGAATCTGGGCTGTTTGATTTCAGTTTGCTTTCTGGAAAAGTTATTTTTGCTTTTGTAATACTCTATTCCAAACTATTCCATAGCTGTAGACTCCTTGATCAAAACCATAGTGACTATCATCTTCTGTCTAACCACCTTGGGTCGAAACTCACCGGGTTCTAATTAAAGACTATAGCTACAAGAGAAGGTTGGAGGCTAGGGATTCTGAAGCGAGTAATTCACATTCTGACTCCCTAAAACTTTTTCTTCATGTTTCATGAGTATAGTGCAATATTGCCCATTTGCCTAGGTAAGTGCAGCTCCAGCAACAGTCAAGAAAATGACTGCCATCAAAGATAAAGCAATGCACTTGATTGGCACCCATTCACTACTTTCAACATTCACTCCGAAAACTGACCGGAGTGTGTACCTCATCAATTTACTGCAGTTTAAGAAGACAGCATACCGCCGCCTTTTTGGACAATTAGGGATGTACACAACCACAACCTGTAAAAGAATCAAAAAAATGTTCTTTTAACTCGGGAGTTTCCTATCTAAGAACTGTCTCTCTTCCCTCAGCTTAACTGTCTCAGACCTTTGCCTCTGAGGAGTCCTTCAATTATCACGTGTTTACACCATTGTAATTAGCATCTAGAATTTTAACTGAATGACATTTGAAAGAGGTGTGCCCTCCATCTGCAGTCAGCTTGCTCCAAAGCAGAATAATCCACACCATCTAGATTCCAACCCTCCCCCATACTAAACTTGTGGATTAGTTTTCTATTGTCCATCCCCCATGCGACTTGATCACATGATCAGTTATTGGAAGCAAGTTTTACCAGAAATCATCTCCCAGGGAAATCTAGGGCAGGTGGTTAGGGTATGGAGGGGTGTGAATCGCTCACTATCCCAGAAGAAAAGTTGGCAAAACAGCTGGCCAGATGGAAGCCCACCTCGCAGCCATTGTGCTGGTGGATGAAGTGCTGGAGTCTTACTTCTACCCATAACTGGGGAGGAGATCCCACCCTCTGGAACTGCTGGCTGTTCCAACAGTGTCAACTAGTGCCAGAGCTCCATAGCAGAAGATGCCAGAATTGCTGACAGGCCTGCTGAGGAGGCCTGATGGATTCTGAAATGAAGTCAGCTATTGGGCAGTGTGAGTTTGCCTGCTTTGAAGAGGGGTTTGTATGTTAAGTTTTGAAGTAGAGTAAGAAGGAAGGTGATATCCTTTGGGGTCTCCATGAGTAGTTTCCCAATGGGTAAAGAGGTCCCTTCAAAAGACAGAGTTACCTCCTTCCTTTTAACCATTTTAAAATCTATTCTCCAACCAGCGTAATATATTGAATCGGTTTAGTTTTTAAGACCTTTGGTTGACTCTTAATCATTTATTTTGAAATGTTGGGCAGGCTGCTGACTTTTTTTTTTTTTGCTTCCCACTTGTCCCCCAGTCACCCAGCTAATAGTAGGGTGAGAGCTTGGGCCATGGGTGGGAAAGTAGTGGGTTAAGAATCACAGAATTCCTAAGGTCCAGAAAGAGGCCTTTCAGTCCATAATCGATCCTCCAAAGAGCAATCCACCCAGACACAGCCCCAGCCCCAGCCCCTATCCTGTCCCCGTAACCCCACATTTCCCATGGCTAATCCAGCTAGCCTACATATCCCTGGACACTATAGGCAATTTAGCATGACCAATCCACCTAACCTGCTCACCTTTGGACTGTGGGAGGAAACTGGTGCACCTGGTATTAACCCACGCAGACACAGGGAGAATGTGCAAGTTCCACACAGACAATCACCTGAGGGTGGAATTGAACCTGGGTCCCTGGCACTGTGAGGCAGCAGTGCTAACCACTGAGCCACCATGCTACCCATAGTGTCCACCAGACATTTTTTTTACACCCCAGTGCCAAAAACAAAGCCAGCGAGGACAAGTAATATCCAGCCCCTAGTTCTTAAAGGGGCAATCACCTATCTTAAAGTGTAGCTTTTTTCTCCCAAAAGCCCAAGGGCTATCACAACATTTGTGTGAAGAATGGGCCAGGACGCACAAGCATAATTTGGTCCTGATTTATGTTCTATCTTCAATATATATTTGGTCCTGTGTGTTGCTATTTATATGGAGTTTGGGAAGCAGAGGAATAACTTTGATTGAAGCCTAACTGTTTTCCTGAAGTGCAGAATGAGAGGTTAAGTGATGCAAAATGGCTACAGCACCCTCACTGGCAGAAGTAGGTAAGTTTACTTTGGGCAGCTTCTATTACGATTACGAACGTAGGAATTTATTATGGGAAAAGTTAACAAGTGTAAAATTTTACAATAATTACAGATTCTGAATTGTTTTCAAATGTGCCTTTCTCCTCAGTTACTGCTTAAATTGAGTTCCACCCCAGGTGACGTTAATCTTGCACTCAGTTCCCTTTTGCCAAAGCCCAGTTGATATTTACTGGGTTATGTATGTGATGAATTGTTACACACTGGCATTTGTTCCTGGTTTACATGAAGTCATCCTCTGTCTTAGGCTAACAGATGGCAGAGAAAGGAGCTGGCAGTTAAAGATACAAAGAAAACTACAGATAAGCTGTTGAGGACCATATTGAAGCAACATGCCTTAAAAAGTGTTTTTGGCAAAAGGTTAGTAAAGTATTTAAAGTTTGAAATTATGTTGATTTCAACAGAAACGTGAATTTCAAAAAATATATGTTTTCTGGAGTAGTTTTTTCTCCTTTGGACATGGAGTGAGAACAATGTTTCCCATTCAGTTTAAAGATGGTAAGAGAAGGTGGATACCTGGACAATTGGATAGTGAGAAGGGGCGATAGGAGGAGGAGAAAAGTATGAGAGGTGGAAGGAAGAGGGTTGGGAATGGAATAAAGAAAATAGTGGCAGGGGTGTAGAGTCTGGCAGCTTTTAAATGGAGTTGGATGAAGGAGTAATTAAACAGTAAGAATAAATGCCACTCAATGATTTAAGGAAAACATAGTTCTAGTAGGAGAACTACTAACATTGGGCAATTTTTATGGCACAGCAGCATCCCAACATTAGTAAGTACAAAAGGATAAAGGTGTTCCACCGAGGAGTGTGTGTGTAATGGAGCAGAAGAAATTGTAAATGATACAAGGAACCTTCGTTTTACTGGGGAGCCCAAGATTTGTTAGCATTGTTGGGGAAGATGGGATCTGGTAATTTGACTGGACGTACCATTGAATATTTTTCCAAAAGATTAGCAGAGTCATGGGAATTCTGATATTGACCAGAGTTTGCCAAAATAAAAAACATCAAACTGGAAGAGCATAGGAGATAAATATCGAACTGAATGCAGCCCTGTTTGCAGAAAGGGCTGATTTGGTAAACTAGGTAATGTGAATGGAGTTTAAAACATTATAATTTGTTGATCATTGATCATGCAGTTATTCTAAAATCCATTGTACTTCAAACATGAAAACTCTACAGCTGGTTTAGATTAGCTGTGGATTTACACCTAATTTTACTTGACATTGTTAATGTTGCAAAGCTTTAATTGCACTATAATCTATAGGTTCCAATGCTATTACAGTTTAATGGACAGTTTAAAATAGATCACAGAGATCATCTGAAATAGAAGTTTCAGTTCATTAAATAATGGAACATTGTGACTCACACAGTAATGTAAATATATTTAACTAGTTGACCTGCTGTAGCATGAGATCCCCAGTATCCAAAACCAGAAACTACAGGATAATAGTCAGAATCTTTCTTTTTGAGGTAAAAATGTCAGCTATCGGGGGCATAGGTTTGAGGTGGGGAAGGGAAGGTTTTACGGAGATGTGCGAGGCAAGTTTTTGTTTTATACAGAAGGTGGTAGGTGTCTGGAATGCACTGCCAGGGGAGATGGTAGGAGCATATACGATAGCAACGTTTAAGATGTCCTTTAGACAAACATGAAGAGACAGGGAATAGAGGGATATGGGATTGGTTTAGAAAGACATCATGGTCGGCACTGACATGCTGGTCCGAAGGGCCTGTTCCTGTGCTGTATTGTTCTATGTTCTATGTGTTCAGGTCATTTGGAAACATGCAAATAGCTTAGAATTGTTGTGGTCAGCACAGATTCTTCTTTGATCTCATCAAGCTAATGTGAAGGAGAAAAAGATATTCTGAATGCTGTTCACTAACATGACAGTGTTGGCACAATCATGTATGGTTAGAATTTAATGCGAGCAGAGGTTTTGAGTTAGTTCCGACGCAGAGTCATATTGGACTCATTGTTAGCTTTTTAAAAAACAATTTTCTCTTTCCACAAATGCTGCCAGACTTGCTGAGTTTCTCCAATGCTTTCTGTTCTTGTTTCAAATTTATTTTTCTTAGCAGTAAGTGCATTACTGGGTTTAAACAACTTTTTAGTACCTATATTGGTAATAGCTTGGCGCTAGCATGTATGTGAGGTATAATCAGAAAGGTTGCACCTACTTTGAAAATGGCGATAATTATCAGTAAACTTATTTTGTTGTTCAATTCTGGAAATAACTGATGTCATTGAATTATGATTATATAAAGTAGTTAACTGGCTCATATTGACACATAAAAGCATTTATAAAATGGGTAATATGAAATGGAAGATGGAAATATAAGGTAAAAATTTCTGCTGATAAATTTCAATATTTGAAACTTGTCAATACTAAATATTTAATGTCATAAATGTATTCTATTCAATTCACTAATGTGAATGGAAAAGATGAAGTGATTGTACAAGTTCGTACATGAATCAAATCTTTTTGCCAGCACTAGCAACCTCAGAAATGTTCTCATTGGAAATTGAAAGTTTTAAAAAATATTTTTCTGTTTTTGTTAACAGTGATGGGGTCATTCCCAGCCTTTCTCAGGTGAGAAGAGGTGAAACTGATGACATTTTTATTCTGCCTTCCTTAGAAAAGAAAGAGGAAAACAGGTTTGTTCATTTTTGAAAAATGGACTAATGTTGATGTAATTTTATGAAGTACTTCACTGGATGTCTGTGTGAGCCATATATCGGGATGGGTAATAACCATCTGAACTCTTTCCTGCTTACCACCTCGTTTGGTCACCACTTCCCCATACCTCACCCTCCCACCCGCCACTTCACTGTCTGACTTTCCCACTTACTGCCATCCTTTCTGCTCACCACTGCTATCAGTGTCACAATTCATTGTCCAGGATTTTACAGTCTGTCCCATATTTGAGATGGTGATCCAGTATCTCGAGTTGTCTGCAGATGGTGAGATGTTTGTTCAGTTTTTTTTTAAAACCCCACTTTTCATGTATGTGATGTGGTCTGTTTCTCTCTCAGCAGCCCACTTCCACAGACTCTAGTCCATTTCTAGCCTCCGACACAGTGTGGGCTGAGCAGAGAGATGCAATGGATGGGAGGCCTGACCAGCAGGAGAGGCAATGAGTAGAGGGAGAGTGAAGGACTGAATGAAAAGATGTCAGCTGTCTGGAGACAGTCAAAGAGCAGTGACCATTTGTAATTAGAAAAGTTGGCATATTTATTCCATGTTTAAAAAGAAGTTCTTTCATTTTATGTGTCATTTCATTTGAGTGTGGGAATTTAGGAATATAAACTGTTTAAGCTCACAAAGTATAATGTGTTGATGTTTACTTACAGTGTGGAGCCAGAGGAACACAGCAGGTCAGGCAACATCAGAGGAACAGGAGAGTCGATGTTTTGGGTCAGGACTAGGGAGGGGGAAGAGAGCTGGGAAATAAATAGAGGGAGGAGGGTGATGTCGATTATCGTGTACAGAGCGCAGATGCTCCATGAATCAGTCCCGGAATCTGCGCTTGGTCTCACCGATGTAGAGGAGGCCACAGTGGGAACCATGGATACAGTAGACCAAGTTGGAGGATGTACAGGTGAACCCCTGTTGGAGAGTTTGTCTTGGGCCTTGAACGTCGGACCTCGGACCTCCTGCAGTTGCAAGGAAAGGTGCCGGGAGTAGTGGGGTTGGTGGGGATTCTGGAGCAGATGAGGCAGTTGCAAAGTGAGTGGCCCCTACGAAAGGCAGATAGGGTTGGGGAGGAAATATCTCTTTGGTCATGGGGTCGGATTGTTGGTGGCAGAAGTGACAGAGGATGATGCGCTGGATGCGGAGGTTGGTGGGGTGGAATGTGAGGACCAGGAGGGCAGAAGTGCAGGAAATGCAAGAGATGTGGTTGAGGGCATTTTGGATCACTGGAGGGGTGAAGTTGCAGTCCTTGAAGTAGGTATGTCTGGGAGTGGAACACCCCATCTTGGGAGCAGATGTGGTGGAGGCAGAGGAATTGGGAGTAAGGAATCGCATTCTTACAGGAGGGTGGGTGAGAGGAGGTGTATCAAGGTAGCTGTGGGAGTCGGTGGTTTGAAATAGGTGTCAGTCCTGAGATGGTTATTGGAGAACCCACCACACCCGACACCTCCCCTCTCACCTCCATTCTTTTCAGGATTGCACCTACAATGCTAAACAAAGAATTACAGTACCATGATAGCAAGTTATCAACAGAATAGGAAATAGAGCAGAGATTAAGCGTTGCTACTCAGACTGGCAAAAAGCAGAGATTGTTGCTTCAAAGGGTTAAGTGCAGTGACCAATATAGTTCACAAATTATATTAACGATTTGCACTTCATGTGGAGGTGCCGATAGTGGACAAGGTCAGAAGTCACATGACACCAGGTTATAGTCCAACAGGTTTATTTGAAATTACAAGCTTTTGGAGTGCTGCTGTTTTGTCAGGTGAAGTTTGTGATTTCAAATAAATCTGCTGGACTATAACCTTGTGTCGTGTGATTTGCACTTGTGGTTTGGAAATAAAATTTTGACATTTGCAGAGAACACCAAATTGGGGGACATCTAGAGAATACTGAGGAAAATTTGACGATAAACAAGAAGATATTAATAAACTTGAACTGTGTATGATGATCAAATTCAATGCAATATAGGTCAGTGTGAGGTAGTGTATTTTCATAGGAAGAATAAGGAGGCTACACAGGTGGGTAACAAGTATCCAAGTGAATTAGAAGTACAAAAGAATCGAGGAGTACAGTTACACACTTGAATAAAAGCAGTGTAAGTGGTCTGGTGCCTCTGAGTCAGAAGCTTCAGGTTTCTAGAGGTATAATATTGAGTGGAATATTTATATTAGCTACTTGGTTAGATATTGCACTGTGCTGGTTTCCATATTATACAAAGGATATAGGGACACTGAAGAGTATTCAAAGTTTTTACAAGGATTATATCAGGACTAAGAGTTCATACTTCTCAGGGAAGGCTAAACGCTTCTTCAAGAAGACTGAGAATAAATGATAGAGGCCTTCAACGTAATAGAAGTTTTTAATAGTGAGTTAACATTAAAAAAAAAGTGAGGAAATCTTAAAAGTAGATGTAAAAAAATCTAGGAGAGTCATTAATAAATCGAATAGGAATTTAGGTGCAACATGTTTACCCGCAGTGTGGTAAGCATGAAGAATGCATTCTTCAAGATGATATTCAAGGCAATAGTGTAAATGCGTTTAAGGGAAGCTAGTCAAGCTCAAAAAGGAGCAACAGGATATTTTGATAAGATCAGAGGAGGCTCAAGTGGAGCATAGCCACTGACATAAACTGATCCAACTATATGCTTTTTTATAAACTGTAAAGTTTACAGAACATCATGATGATCTAAAACGTTTTCTGCAAATTCTGGTAAAGTCAAGGCGTTCGTGACTTCTGACCTTCTCTTCCCGAGCCATTCCTTGCAATACTTTCTAGCACAAGTCCATCTAAAGAAGCATGATGCTGTGACCTGCCCAGCACACTCTTCCCAATTTGAGGGTCTAGAAGTGTCTTCCAGGAAGGAAGTCACCCTCTCACCAGGGTTCCTCCTCCCTTTCCTGATGTCATCTTCTGGAGCATTCTACATTCACATCAATGGCCCAGAACAATCACAGTTTATTGGAATTGGAACAACAGACCCCTGAATGTGTTGGGCAGAGTGGGGACTGTGGGAAAATATACCCATTTTTAGTTTTACTTTCATTATATTTTGACATGTGAATGAGATTTGATATTGTGAGGATATTCATAACATAAGGACTACAGATATTTTATTTGGAAATATAAGCCAGGAAATAGAAATTTGAATTATTATTGTTGTTTTGCAAGTCAAAAGGAAAATGGAAATGTGTGTTTTTTTTTTTGCTGAAACCAGATTTGGCTATTTTTGTGGGACGTGTCAGCATCAAGTGTCTTTGGAAAAACAAAGTAATGCCCAGCATTTATTGGTTGTAATGGACACTGAACTGAGAGGGGAAAGAGCAGTTAAGACTCGGACCTTCAAACCTGCCACCAAGTGAAATCTGTCTCTTGTTGTATTGTTCATTAATGAAAGCTGGCATAAAATATTAAATATATTTAGTAAAATAAAATCTAATACTTTTAAATAGTGGTCACAGTCAGGCATTAACTATCCTAGCAAATAAATTGGTTGTACTTCACATTTATGATAACTCATGGAATGGTGAGGCTTGATTTCCAATGCACTTTCCCACCAGAGTCAGGACAATAATTTTACTGGTAATCTTACAAGTAAACTTCTACTGTTTTATTTTAGTTCAGATGAAGAGGCAGAAAAAGAATGGGAAGAACGCATGAGCAATGAAAATCTGTTTCAGGTAAAGTATCTGCAATGATTTTGTGTGTGCCTGTTCGTGTCATGGCATTGGCCAACGTGTGTTTTGAGATACTGCACTATGTAACATGCCCATCCATTCATCTGTATTCTTCCTTATCATGCCACAGAAAAGCAACTATTGATCGTTGATGTATTGATCTATGGCATTCTGGTCTAAAACTCAGAAACACTGAACTGTCAGTGGTATGTCAGTGGGACGGTGGCTCAGTGGTTAGCTCTGGTGCCTCACAGCGCTAGGGACCCGTGTTCGATTCCACCCTCGGGTGATTCTGTGTGGAGTTTGTACATTCTCCCCGTATCTGCGTGGGTTTTCTCCGGGTGCTCCAGTTTCCTCCCAAAGATGTGCAGGCTAGGTGGATTGGCCATGCTAAATTGCCCATTGTGTTCAGGGGTGTGCAGATTAGGTGGGTTATAGGGAAATGGGTCTGGGTGGGATGCTCTGTGGTTTGGTGTAGATTTTGTTGGGCCGAAGGGCCTGCTTCCACACTAGGGATTCTTCTGTGAATAAACATAAGCCTCCAGGTCCATAATATAACAAGTGCACTTAAAAATCCTTGTTTCCTAACACCTTGCCTTTGCTTCACTAACATCAAGAGCTCTTACACAGTGGTTTATGAAGTTGGAACAGGCAGTTGGTCAGCAGATTTGTGTGTATTGTTGTGATGTGGAGGACCCCCTCCCCTGCACACCCCCAATAACTAAAACCGAAACACCCAGAGAAGCTCACCTCATAATCAGTTAAAGGAAGTGTGAAAAATGGTATAACCTGCCTCTCACCAACCTCTTTCCACCGCCCCCCCACCGAATCTGTGGTTAAATGAAATGAAATCCTTTCACTCGTTCTTTAATCAGCAAGTAACAATTTATTTATCTAACAGCAAACAAATTAATAAAACTACTAACAAACCAAACAATTCCCCCTTAGCTACTAGCTATTCCCAAATCAAACAAAATGCTAATGATATGCTGTTCCAATAAATATAAGTCCCACTTGTATAAATCAAAATAATAAAACAATATTGAAACTTAATTTCTGGAAATTACAACCAGGATACATCTTCCGGAATGCTCCATCCCTTCTCCGCTGATCCTCAGTCCGTACGCCTCTCTCCGTCAGATTCTTGTGTCAGGAATATTAGCTAAGAGTACCACTACACCTTTATTTAGATGATGGGTACTCTAAGAGCTTAGAGAATTCTGAGAGAAGAAGTGATTTTTCTCTTTAGATCTGATGAGTTGTTAACTCTATTAGATGGCAGTTGCCCTCGCATCAATTTTCAAATACCGTCTTCTTTTATACCCTTGATGACCTATCAGTTTCTTACAATGGGATTGGTCCTAGGTTGTCAAAACCATCAGATTTAAATTTAATTGGTTTTTAGTCTCTAAGTGCCTGGTTTAAATTAGTTGGCTGATTTTCAAACTGGTTGCCTTAATAACAAAGCAAACTACTGCCTGAGTTACTAACATACAACTTTTGATATAATGTTTCAATTTCAGGAGCTGTTTGTGTACCTGCATTTTTGTTTTTCTCCAAAAAAAAAGCATCATAATTTAAAGGGACCGCACATCCTTCCCCCTATCATTTTACAAACATTAAATTCTAACACCCAGCCTTCCAATCCACAAATACTCTACCCAACTTTGCAACAGTATTGTGAAGCCACGTCTCGGTCGAGGTTTTATAATGTTATGCTTTTGGAAATTAAGGAGTGTTGGCTTTCAATAATTCTCTTAATAAATACTGGATTCCTTTTAGAATTGGTTACTTTGACTAGTTTTATTTGGAAAATTTTATTTTTATTACAGACTAAATGATGTCCTTTTATTTTAAGTAATTGGAGACTGTCCACAGTTTCTATGAACTGATACCTGCTCACTAGAAACAAGTAATGCTACTTGCTAGTTTGATAAACAATTTTCTAAGGAAATGAATCCCTTTTAACAATAACTTATTGAAAAAAATGTAATATTCATATGGTGTATGTATGTGGATGTGTTGGCAAGATTATAGCTCATGGTCAGCATGGTGGCTCAGTGGTTAGCACTGCTGCCTCATAGTGCCAGGGACCTGGGTTCAATTCCAGCCTAGCGTGACTGTCTGTGTGGAGTTTGCACATTCTTCCCATGTCTGCATGAGTTTCCTCCCACCATCCAAAGATGTGCAGATTAGGTGGATTGGCCGTGCTAAAATGTCCATAGTACCCAGGGATGTTTAGGTTAGGTGGATTAGACATAGGAGATGCAGGGGTAGGGGAATGGGTCTGGGTGGGATGCTCTTCGGAGGGGCGGTGTGGACTTGTTGGGTCAAATGGCCTGTTTCCACACTGTAGGGATTCTATGAGAAAAGCAAAACACTGCAAATGCTGGAATCTGATTTGTTACATTAATCATCAGATTAGGCATCATCGGCAGAGAGCGAGTAAATATTTCAAATCAATGGTCTTTCTTAAGAACTGGCCAATATTAAATGTGGACAGCTTTTAAGCAAGTACTGAACCAGGAATAGACAGAAGGAAAAGGAATGTGAACGTCTGTGATTAAATGTGAGGGAAAGAGTGATTAAGTGAGAAAAGTGGAGCATTATAAATGAGTTAATAGCAGAACTAAAATTAGGTCCAGGTAATGTGTAAATGGTCAGAGCAGAAAAGCAAAGAGGAAGAATTTTTGCAGAATATGGTGAAAATAAGCCTAATAAGCACCAAGTTATTGGCACGATTGTAAGGTTTGCAGTTCACTTTAACTGTAATTGTGAGATTTAGAAAGCCTCTCTCAAACGCAACTAATCTAATCAACTAAACTCAACTAAATCCAACTAAGTACAGGGCCCCCCAGGTTTAAATATATCTTCACAAGTTTCACTGAATTTCTTAAGTTTAAGTTTGTTCTTTTTCTTTAATCTTTTCATCGGATTATTGCATCTCTAACAAGACCAGCCTTTGTTGCCTATTGCTATGTTGAATCAAATGGGTTGCTGCATTATTTTAGAGGGCAGTTAAGAATCAACCACATTATTGAGAGTCCAGAATTATATGTAAGTCAATCCAACAAAAGACAGAAGACTTTCTCTCCTAAATTACCTTAGTAAACTGGATAGGTATTTCACCTAAAATGATGGTATTTTTGTGACACCATTACTGAGACAAGCTTTCAGTACAGTGCCAGTTTTGTTAATTGAATTGAAATTCCACCAGTACTATGGTGTGATTTCAGCTCATACCCCTAGAATATTACATAAACAAATTGCTGGAGAAACTCAAGTCTGAAGAAAGGTCACTGGATCCGAAACAATAACTCTGCTGTCTCTCCACAGATGTACCAGACCAGCTGAGTTTCTCCAGGAATTTCAGATTTCCTGCATCCACAGTTCTTTGGTTTATTTTATCCCCAGAGCATTAGTCTGCCTTGATGGATTACTAGTTCAGTGGCATTACCATTCAGCCACAGTCTTCTACAGAATTATTACAATAAGTACAATCCAATAATTACTTAATATAGGCAATGGTTCATTCAATCCACTTTGGAACACCAGCTCACGGCTATTGGCTGGCTGGATATAGTTATGCTTCACTTATAAAAGGCATTGGTGAATTAAAACTAAACCAATTTGGGAGGTGGCTGTGTCCTGAAACACACAGCCATTTTTGCTTCAGCGTGATTTAACATATATGTCCTGTGATTAAACAAAGCCATAAAATAAAACGGTGAATCTCTTCCAGAATTTGTTTTAGACCAGAGGACACACGGCCAATCTGACTGAATATACAGTATATTGTTTGTAGCCTGCATATTTATTTCATCTGTATCTTTTATCAACCATAATCAAACAGAATATGATAATAATTCCTTGAATGTTTAAACATCACTAAAAAATAATAAATAGCCTCAATCTTACCATGTACTAATGCATTATAATGTCAGTCCTCTCCTTGTTTATAAAATGATGTGCTGAATTATGATCAGCATTCCAGGGATGAAGCCATCACATTACTTAAATAAAATGGTAATGGAAATTGGCAGGAGATGCAGTATTAGCTAGGAAATAAAAGTGAAAGATCAATATCTGGATTTTATGTCAGTAAGCGTTTTAAAAAAAAAAATAAATCAATGAATATTCTCTCAAAAATAGATCCCAATGATAGCATTTTAAAGAAAAAATAAGTCTTCTGTTTAGAATCATGTTGTAATGCTTTATATTATTCACTATGAAATAATATATTTTAGTGAAATCTAAGTGCTTTTATGACTTTTCATTATTTAAAAAAATAATTTGCATAAATGCCCAACTACCGAAACCCTGAAAATAAAGAAAGTCAAATTTGTGTCATGTTCCTCTGCCTTCAACATTTGATCAGTTGGTTCCTGTTACCAATCCTGATGTTACTGTATTGTTTTTGTCCAAAAAGTCTTTTCAACTGCTGCCACTACTCTCATTGACACCCAGTTCTCTTTCAATTCCTTCTCTTTCAATTTTTATTAGGTTTCCATTCCTGAGCTGCTGAATTTTGACCAGCAGGAAGACACAATACTCTCTTTGAACCAACTACAATGTCCTTTCCTTGCTGCTCCCTTCAATACAGCCCTCTGATCCTTTTGATCAATAATGCAAAATTTCCTCGGAATAATTGATCTTCTGCTGCAAGTTATTTTTACATACTTAAATGTTTTCATTTCCATTTAGAATGCGTATCTTGAGAACCCTCATTCTGTAGACGTTGAGTCGAAAGACTTTGCTAATTTACCTCCAGAAATAAGACATGAAATCCTGACGGACCTCAAAGAGTTCACCAAACGTCGAAGGAGTCTATTGCAGACAATGCCTGAGGTATGTTCACTGTTTTCTGGTGGCAAAAATGTCATTATTAAGATTTATTCAGAGAATAGTTTGTATGTTTATGTTTTATCCCATTTTAAAACTTTAGCAAGTGAAGAGGTGCTCAGTGGAAGACGTCAGTCCACCACCCAATGTTTTTCGTTATTACAATTGCACAGTTCTTCATTGATACTTGTTCCTGTCTACTTCACGCTTTATAACTACAAAACTGGAAAGAGAAAAATCCTTTCATTAAGAGCTTCCAATCCATATTCAACAACTTTTGGTTAAAAACTCTGCTCATATTTTGACAACTGTGATGATCCACAACTTTCTAAATAAAACATCCGAGGACATTCTAAAAATAAAAGTCAATTCATCCTGTCTCCCAATATTTACAGATCTTCTAAAAATTTCCTGGATCTTTGCCAATCACTAATTGGTTCTTCCTTGGACCAAAAGCTATTTGTGTATACCTTTTGTTGAAATATATCCATTGGATTCTGAGACTTTTTTTTAAAACAAATAACCTAATAAGTGGAACAAAGACATTTATCTCTTCCAGCATCAGAGGAGCAGGAAGATCGACGTTTCGGGTTTATACCTTTCTGAAGGGTGTTAACCCAAAAAAAATTGACTTTCCTGCTCCTCTAATACTGCCTGTGTTCCTCCAGCTGCATCCTGTATTGATTTGACTCCAGCATCTGCAATTCTTGCTTTCTCCACATTTTCTCTTCTGCCTTCAGTATTGGAGGTAATTATCATTAAATGAACAAGTCACAATTTTCAAAAAATCCAGTTAATTTTTTTGACATAAATTAGCAGTAATTAGAGATAGTAAGAACTGCAGATGCAGGAGTCCAAGGTAACACAGTGTGGAGCTGGAGGCAC